TGATCTGGCATAGTACACAGCCACAAGTGTGTACTATGCCAGACCAGAGTCAAGGCATAGTACACACCGGTACTATGTGAATAGAGTATAACCCACTAAACCCAACATAATAATAATAATATATACAGTTATTTCAATATGAAGTTATATTTATAATCCATCGTTAAGTCCGAGTCTAAAAAGGCAGGGTTACCATATGTCTGTATTTAGTATGAATAGTCTGTACTTTAAAAGGCTCTGTCCATGTCCATACCATACTTAGAAAAAATAAACAAAATGTCTGTACTTTTCAACTGATTGAGCAGTTAATAGTTAAATTATAACCATTACGATTTAAATCTGACAGAAGGCACTAAATTTTTGATGATTATTATTATTATACTTGTTAGCTAGGTGGCAACATTGTATAAGCAAATATAACAGCTCTGTTGTTTAGAGAACGTGCACATTCATTATAACTGTTTTTTTAATTTGATAGTAATTACTGTCTAAGTGGTAAAATAGTTTTTTTCTTATATTTGAAATTTCATTCTGTGACATAAAGGAAAGTGTAAATTGAAACTTTATATTATTGAATATATGCCTACATTTACTAGATTGAAAAATATGAATAAATTCTTTTTATTTTGCCTTGCTGTATGAGTACTTTTAATGCTAATCAGTCCATATTTTGCCTTCAATTGTTATGGTAACCCTAAAAAAGTAGCCTGATGATCACAATAATGATAAAATGTCTTATTTCACTATTTACCATTTATTAGGTTTACCATTATTAATATATGCTGAGCTTCTATGAAGAGTTGTAGGGTCCGAGATTTAGAAATTGAGGAGCCAGAGTTGGCAGTTTTGCATATTCTTGTCTCATACCATTTTCCATATCTTGAAATACGACAAGTCAGTTGTATTATTGGTTTTTCAGAAATTTGACAAATTTGCCAGACATTGAAAGACATTTTTGGAAATTATTTAAATATTTTTTGTAATAATTTGCAACTTAATTTTCTTTTGTTATTGATATAGTGTACAATTTATAACAATAACAATTCTTTCATTTCTAATTTATCATTTGATAACTTTTTCTTCAATATTTTCAAGAGGAATTTAGTTTCTTAAATTTTATTTTTAATTTTAGAAGTTTGTCAATAGTTGAATTTTTCAATAGAAAAATAAACTATTAGTTCTAAATACTAACAGTTTATTTTTATTATCTTACTATCAGTTTTAAGAAAGTTTTCAACTACTGTATTAAGAAAACAAGTTTAAAAAATAATTTAACACTATATTTGTGTGTATTCAAAAAGTACTTTTTACATTTTATTTTCTTTTATGCATTGCCTTTTTATCTTTTAGACAAATCTGACTTTTTGTGTAATAGTTAAAATAGTTTGTACACAAGTTTACTAAAGAATTAACTAAACACATTTGTTATAGCATAATTTTTTTAATCACAAGTTTTTATACAATATTGAGTAAAGAAAGTTATAAAAATCATGTGTAATCATAAAATATGAAGAATTTAATGTTTTCTTTTATTACATATTAATATTAAAATTGCAAGAAATAATGTTTCTCAATTTATAAGACAAATCAAACAGTCAAAAGAACTTTAATTCATATATTAAACTTAATTTTCTAGACATTTTTTATTATCCAGTAAAATCTATAAGTAACTTGAAAGTCATATTGTACAGTAATTAAGAATCATTTTTAATACATTATATGTGTATTTAATAAAATATTTAACACCTTATAACGCTGAGAAATATTTATTAAAACACAAATGTTTTCAACCTAATGGAATAAGCCATCATCAGGTGACAGGCTATCGAACAACTTTGAAAATTGCGTTAAAACGGAACTTTCGAACATTACAAATTCAAAATTAAAACGTAAAATAAATTAACCAATCACTATACAAAATAACTATAATAAATAGATTGATGCCATATTAATATAAATAATAAAATAAGGCAATATAGAACTAAAAACAAAAATAAACCTAAAAGATTAAATGCACAAAAAGGATTAAATTCATAAAAATATATATATCAAAAAGCATCACATTAAAAACAGCAGACAGGAACTAAGAATTTGTGTGTTTTAACTTTTCTTTTACAAAGAACTTCCATGCCGAAGCAAAACCATCAGCATCCCTTGCATTGATACAGCCGTCCCTTAATTTACTCTTATAAATTTCAATTTTTTCATGTTGCAAAGCCAACGATGGGGACCGCAACGTCTTGAGAATAGATGCTTCATTCCATTTAACTACTGAAGTCTCCGCTTGTGCCATACTTGACAAAACCGTGGTACAATGTCCTTTACTAATGTCATATCTGTGTTCTTTAAGCCTAATAGCCAAATTCCATCTAGTGACTCCAATATAGTCCTTCATAATTCCTAGCTGTTGGTTTTCAAAGGGAATTTTATACATGCCCGCCGTTTCTTCTTTCTTAAGCTTGTCCTTATCGTTTCTAAGAATACTGTATAAATTAGGACCTCTTTTGTAAACAATTTTGGAGCGTTTTCTGTCTGAAACTTGCTTCATGATGTCCCGAAGTTTTTATTATATGTAAATTTTGTGATCTTAAATTGATCTGCTCCGGTTCTTAACCTCTTGCCTCTTTCATAACTTTTTATTAGCCCTTCAATTGTACTTTTGCGGTAACCAAATTGAAGGGCTAATAAAAAGTTATGAAAGAGGCAAGAGGTTAAGAACCGGAGCAGATCAATTTAAGATCACAAAATTTACATATAATAAAAACTTCGGGACATCATGAAGCAAGTTTCAGACAGAAAACGCTCCAAAATTGTTTACAAAAGAGGTCCTAATTTATACAGTATTCTTAGAAACGATAAGGACAAGCTTAAGAAAGAAGAAACGGCGGGCATGTATAAAATTCCCTTTGAAAACCAACAGCTAGGAATTATGAAGGACTATATTGGAGTCACTAGATGGAATTTGGCTATTAGGCTTAAAGAACACAGATATGACATTAGTAAAGGACATTGTACCACGGTTTTGTCAAATATGGCACAAGCGAAAACTTAAGTAGTTAAATGGAATGAAGCATCTATTCTCAAGACGTTGCGGTCCCCATCGTTGGCTTTGCAACATGAAAAAATTGAAATTTATAAGAGTAAATTAAGGGACGGCTGTATCAATGCAAGGGATGCTGATGGTTTTGCTTCGGCATGGAAGTTCTTTGTAAAAGAAAAGTTAAAACACACAAATTCTTAGTTCCTGTCTGCTGTTTTTAATGTGATGCTTTTTGATATATATATTTTTATGAATTTAATCCTTTTTGTGCATTTAATCTTTTAGGTTTATTTTTGTTTTTAGTTCTATATTGCCTTATTTTATTATTTATATTAATATGGCATCAATCTATTTATTATAGTTATTTTGTATAGTGATTGGTTAATTTATTTTACGTTTTAATTTTGAATTTGTAATGTTCGAAAGTTCCGTTTTAATGCAATTTTCAAAGTTGTTCGATAGCCTGTCACCTGATGATAGCCTATTCCATTAGGCTGAAAACATTTGTGTTTTAATAAATATTTCTCAGCATTATAAGGTGTTAAATGTTTTATTAAATGTTTTAAAAGAAGCTGAGTTGATATTCAATTTATTATATGTATATTTCTTCAGTTCATTAACAACTTGAATTAAAAACATTTAGTAAAATAAAAGTAATATAAAATACATTGCTTAAAATTAAAATTGTATTTGTTTTAACACTGATATAAATTTTGCCTTTGAATATGCCATATGTCTATAAAAATCAAAATTATTAACAACAACAAAACCTGAATTTTTATACCATATGGTTCACCTTGCAAAAATTTTTTTACACTTTTTATCAGTTAGTTTTTATATAGAATCTAAAATTCTTTTTAGACATTTTCTTTTGAAAATCATTAAACTTATTCTATGATCCAATTAACTAACAGAATCTGAAATAAACAGAACAAATAGGAAAACATAACCTTCTTAACAATCTTAAATAATCTGTCATCTGCATTATATACAATAGATCTGTAGACCTGAAATGTGTTTATTCTAAATGTTAAAGTTAAATATTAAATGTAATACCTTCTTCTGCTATATTACACTAATTAATTAATAAATCATAGTTGTCAACTGTCCTAGAATTTTGCCATGAATTATTTTTCCCCAAAAAATCTCAGATAATAGATAATATTTCAGTTTTGAAATAAAATTACATTTTAATAAAGCCAATTTACTTATATATGACTTCCCCATTAATAAAGAAATTACATGTAAGCTCTTCAACGTATCCCAACGATGGCTTCTGAATTTCAAAAACATTTGAAGAATGAAGAATACTACTGGTAAGGCTTATTTGTCGAGCTTTCTAGAAATCTTGTAAACCAGTTTATGAATTGCAAAAATTATATTCTTTAAATTTTCTAATCTAAAATGTTCATATGCAATGATTCACCAAGACAACTGAACTTGTCTATTATTTTCCTTTTAAAGCATTTACAAATCCAATAAAGTGAATAAAATATTTTTTGTGTTTGGAAATCAAATCAATAATTCAATTATAAAAATTATAATGTGTAATAAATTTCTGTTAATTGAATTTTTCGACGTAAAGAAGCCAAAATTTTATATAATTTTTTTTTAAAACTTTAAATCAGAAGAATTATCGATAAAATAATGCTTAATTTCAAACGCATGCTGCATAGACGCGATCGCATGCGATATATATTTGATGACGTCATCAATACAGCAAATTTGACGAATTGCGTGTAATAAAACTGAAAATTTTCTGTTTATGTAACGTAAAACATATGTTAATTTAAAATCTTCTTCCCTAGCGATTCCATTTGCAACATACGTTACATAAAATGTCTTAAATTAAGCCTAACGTTTGGATATGTAAACGTACTGATTATAAACTAATAAAATACTTATTGCTTAATCTATGTTGCCTAAATTGTTCTAGAATACTTATAATTTGTTTACTTACTTCCCATTTTTTCCTAATTTGTCGATTTTCTTATTTAAAATCAAAAATTTGGTTAGGAAACACCGATCGACAGCTTAATACAATTACTCTCCACCTAGAGGGACATGAAAGAACTAATGCCCACGTGTCAGTGACACGTTGCTGATCTTTAACAATTTTTCAAACACTTCCTTCTCCGTTACAGATAAGACTACACACGACAGTTTCCCCCTTTTTAAATTTTACCAGTTTTTTAAATAATTACGCTATTTTTCTGCTATAATTGTGAAGTGTTATTTAATCCAATAAATATGGCTGATTTTAAAGAAAATATTATTTCATAACAGTTCATAATAATATAAATATAATAAGGTATAATGGGTACAGGGTATGAATCTAAATATTCATAAAACATCTATTAATGATATTTATCAATATATAAAAATTACAGTTTTATTTCATATTAGTTTTAAATTAAAAAATCTAATGTCATGAATTAAGATTACCATGTAATAGTATATACCAGTACATATACAGCCGACCCCCCTATAAGTTATAACACTGTTGATTATTCCGTTTTATATGAATTCCATGTTGTAGTAGTCACTTAGATTTTACAAATACGTGAGCCGTTCACAGCCCGGCACACGTATTTGTAAAAAATAAGTGACTCGTACAACATGGAATTCATATAAAACGGAATAATCAAGTGTTATAGGGGGTCGACTGTACAGTAAGTCTCCGTTTAACGCGTGGGATGCGTTCCTAGATGACAAAGCGCTAAACGAACAGCGTTAATTAAACGAGATCATTTTAACATAGAGAAAATAGGGAAAGGAGAACACGCGACCACTCTTGCTCACTGAGAGAGATCTAAAACCACAAAAAAAAATGTTCTTTAGGGTATCCAGCAATTACTAACATTTGCATATAAAATTAATGAAGGAAAAAATTATGAAAGATGACGTTCTCGAATAAGGATGCAAAAGCTGAAAGGGTTGTCCACTCGGCCATTAGTGGGCCGATCCATATGTTCAGACCAAATCGGCGCAGATGTCTTGAATGGATGAAGCCGGTATAATTATAGATGTCTGTTATGATAGTTGAATTTTTCGTCTTGTCCATATAGATGATATGGATCAAGAATTGGGATTCCTGCACATCGACAGAACTAACGGCGAAAGATGTAATTGGCAGCCATAGACGCCTGTATTCGCTGTAGATAGTAATCTCAGCGAGTACAGGACGGAAGATGTAGTCATGCACTATATGCCAAACTGATGCCTGTTTCACAGGCATCAGTTTGGCATATACCGGTACATGGCTACAACTTCTGTCATTCAGTTTGGCATTGGCATATAATGCATTTTAGTACAATTGGCATATAGTGCATTTTAGTACAATTCTTCAGTTTGGCATATAGTGCATATAGTACAATTCTTCAGTTTGGCATTCTTCAGTTTGGCATATAGTGCATATAGTACAATTCTTCAGTTTGGCATATAGTGCATATAGTACAATTCTTCAGTTTGGCATATAGTGCATATAGTACAATTCTTGTGGCATACAATGATTACTTTTGGAAGGGTCGTCTTCTACCATTCTCATTGTCTGTTCTTTCAGCGTATGGATAGACACCCGTCTCAGAATGCCTTTAAGTCGGCGCCTTGAACAGCTTTGCTGCCAGGGCTTGACGGCACAGGAAAGCCTCCATGTGCAGTCGGTGTGCCTCTTCTGAATTTCCGTTGGCCTTCTGATAGCAGAAGTACAGTACATATTAGTTAGCTTTTCGAAAAAATAGATCCGATTCATATTGAGTAGCACTTTATTCACAAATGCTGTAGCCTACGTCACAGATAGAGCAGCTGATTTGCATGTGTTACCATGTGTACCAGTTTCAATTGCGTGGTTGGACGTATTACATTTTACGTACGGATAGATGTGTTCGTACGTTGTTTGATGGTATTAGCGAGGTTGACACCGAAGTTTTAAACGCGAAAACGTGTACGTCGGACGTTCGGCGCCACTTTCCTGTAAGCCTAGAAGTTTGACAATGGTGTTTGGAATGTCGAGCATGATTCCACTGATTATCCAAACACCATTGTCAAACTTCTAGGCTTACAGGAAAGCGGCGCTGAACGTCCGACGTACACGTTTTCGCGTTTAAAACTTCGGCCTCAACTTCTATTTTTGCTGACTAATATCTCGAAAACGCGTGGTATTACGACCCCTATTGTTTATACAGTTTGTCTCATTTTGTGTGTGGGAATTCAATGCTGAAGTTCGTACAACTGTCTTGGAATAACTTGTAGTTTACAGTACATTACGTGTAATAATGTATAAACTAATATTTTCTTATATTTTATGTAATTTTTACAATGACGATTTTTAATATAACTGAACAGTCTAAATATGTGCTACATTTATTAGTTTATTATTAAAACAGATTTATTTAAAATTTCAAAAATTAATATTATATGATTAATATTAGAATATATTCCGCTAGATGTCCTTTTCCTTCGATAATCCATAAACGTGCAGTATGTTCTTTTGAGGTAGAGTGTAGAACAGCTGCTCATTCAAGTATATAGCTGAGGTATTGTTAAATATGTTATATTAAAACTATAAAAAAAAATACTTTAATTTTAATATTAGACACTAGCCACTGTAATTAATACACCTTTAACAGTGAGTAAGAATAGAGAAACTTAATGTTTTTGGTGTGGTTTATAGGCCATCTTCCATCTTTAGAAGTAAATGAACATAAAAGGAATTAGATTGTCTGTTCATGTTAACTCACTCAAAAATGTTGAATTTCTCCATCCTTACCTGATATTAAATAGGTACAAGTGCAACTCTGAATGAGCAGTTGGGTCCTTATCAAAACTGTAGACCATACCCATAGGATTAAAAATCAAAGGAACTGATGGTCTATGTGTGATATAGCCCTCTGAAATCAACCTATCTGGAATTTTGAAGACACTCAAAAATGGGATAAAATTAAAGTGAAAAAATTCAGAACTATATCTCAAAACAAAATCAGTTATATATATTTACTTATGGTGCAGTTTTTTTATATTTCTTTTAAAAAAATCTTTTTAAAAAATAAAAAACTTTAAGGGGTAATACCACTGCTGTTTTCTATCTATAACCTGATTTTATCAGACAAAAAAACTACTAAGGTTTACAATTGTTAGTCTTTATTACACAATACATTTCGGGTGCAAAATTTTGTTTCACTTGCACCTAAGTTTTTAATTTTTTAAGATTTTTTAAAATTTATTTTTTTAAAAGAAAGACAAAATCAGCTGTTTTCCACTTTACTAGAGATGGCTAAAAGCTCATAAAACATGAGAAATGCCATTGCACTGACTATTTTCAGGGCATAATTGGAGTCATGCTGCATGGTCCATTAAGCCTATTGTATATTTAACTGCAGCCTGGATCCATTGCTATATCTTGCAAAGGGTCACATGTAGACCATTGGTTTCATTGACTTTTTACTCCTGTAGGCATAGTCTATAGCTCTTTTAAAATCCCAACTATCTCATTCAGTATCATTAAGTGTGTATTAGTTACTTCATTGAGTGAATTATTTTAGTAATTTAATTTTTTATAGTAATATTTGCTATCTTCATAATTTGATTAACATTCATATTTATAATTCATAACCAAGAATTGCTGAAAAGTTAGCAATAAGCATTCATATATATAGATTAAAATTAATGCTAATTGATTAACTTGTGATTCTGTCATGCCATTTTAATTCTGAATATGGACATAAGATAGATGTGGGAAACCTTTTTTAATATGAAGACCACATCCTCGCAGAAGGAATTCATAAGGCTTTATGATGCACTGCAGGTTGCATATTAGTGTATATGTTACTGTAAAAGAATGAAATTAGAGAATGTCGATATTCTCCAGTGAATGTTGACACATACAAAATATGTTGGTGAAAGTCCGAATATTTGGTTATATTATTATACATTCGAACAATCGCTGGTGTATGTCGACAAACACAGATAAGCTTTGGTGGAGGTCGAAACGACACCCGAGAAGCCAATGTCGATATAGAGGTGACAGTCTGTCGCCAAATCATTTGTGGGTAGCCGAAGTTAGGACAAGGTCTTTTGATCCCGTGAGATGGGGATCGATTTGTCAGGTCGAGTGGCAGAGGATGAGAGGGGTCGTCGGTAAGGCGTCGCCGATATCCGAATAAAGGACACCATTAACAGATCAGTTCGTAATCACGTAATAACGTAATCAGTTTGTAATTTGTAAAGAAAAGTTACTTTCCATAGATGAGATTTCTTCTCAAGAAATATTGCTGAGAGAAGCAGCTGCAGCTAATTCGAAAAGTGGAGGACAAGGCTATACACACTGTCATTGCAAAAAGAAGTGTTCCACGAATAAATGCAGTTGTAAAACCAAGAGACTCTTGTGCAATTCAAAGTGCCATAACGGTTTAAGTTGTTGCAATAAATAAGATTGTATAATGTTAATCACATAATTTATGTGTAAGTTTATTATTGTATTATTTTCTTTAATGATTAAGAATGTACTGTTCGTTTTAGGTTCAACAGTTTATTTAAATGTGCTGTTACTTAAGCTTTCTCCTATTTTCACATATTAAAATGTTGCATTTTTATCTTAAAGTGATAAAAATATTTTTATTCAACATTCACCATCAGTTCATGCTGAATGTCGACATTTGCCGGTGTAAGTGAGAAATAATGATATTTAGCAAATATTTCGTACATACATGAAACGGCTGTGTGAATGCTGACATTCACTAGAGAATGTTGACATTTGCCAGATATCAGTCATTCACAGTAACATATATATTTAATAAACATGCACCAATAATATATTTAAATTGTACTTAGATAAATGTTTTTATTGGAAACAAGAATGGAAAACTTTTTCATAACTAGTAAGTTTAATTTTTCTGTTATGAATTTTATCATTTTAGTAGAAATTCTGCTGTCAATCATGATGGAATATTTTTAATGACAAAGTAAATATTGAAGAATTGAGAATAGTTTCAAGTTGAGCTTGACTTTGTGATGCTGTTTCTGCAGCTCTTGACAAAGCCATTGTTACTTGATGTTGCTTAAGTAATACTTCACGGCTTTCAGGGGTTCTCAGTTGTTACTTTAGATCTAGAATTTACCTGATCAATTTTACTCTTACACTTTCCCCTAGGCATTTTATTTTGACAAAATAGCAAATTTTTTTAATTTTATGTTGATGTAACAAAGATGAATTGTAGGTATGTACTGTACATTAATTAGATGAGCAAATAATACTTTCTAATAACGGGCTTGTTAGATTGTTACTTCCTATAATGTAGCAACTTGTATATTGTACTGGATCTACTGTACATGATTTCTGTACCACTCTGACCTGCAATATCTTTGTATAAGGAGTTCAAATGTTGATTGAACTGAACTATGGTACACCTGGAGCTAGTAAGGGTGATTATTGATCCTAAATTGATAATAGAACATCATGTGGTCATTATGAAAAGATATTTTTCAAAAAATTTGTTATAGAAGTGACATGATGTGACTGTCATTTTTAAAATTTTAAATTTAATGAAGTAATTTTAAATACACCATTTGCCAATATTTAAAAATGCAACTTAAGGGTAATTTCCTTGTCAAGCATGAACATCATGTGGTCACTGACATCACTGCAACATAAGGGTGATTTTTGATCCAAAATCGATAAAACATTTATTCTATAGCTAATATTTCCAAGAAATAAGTAGCCTATACAGTCAAACCCCCTATAACGCGGGTTCATATAATGCGGATTCGTATATCGTGGCGAAAAAATTGCGACTGTATTCATATAAAGACGCTAAAAGAGACTCGTAAAATGCGGTAAAACGTCATTGCCGACTCATGTCGCAACAGGATTAGTCAAATCTGGACCAATAGTGGATGAGCAGCCAAACTACTTGCACACTAAGGAGAGTTTAAGCGCATAAGTTGAGTTTACTATATTCTTTACAGTATATAAATTTGATACTGTAAGTCTAATACAGAACTGTAATTTTATACATTTCTTATTCAACAGCCATAAAAATTATTCTATTAATGATGTCTCCAAAGTTCAATGAATTTTTCGCATAAAAATAACTTATCAGAAAATGCGCCCGCCGTTTGGTGCACTGCTCCGCGATGAAAACAAGCTTAAGCAATGGCATGGTTGAACGGTGCACACTCGGTAAGTAATCCTACAATTTTTTGTTTATAGCATAGTTTATACGGATTATTCCCAAAAAATTATACGTGTTTTGGAAATATTGAGTCAAATTAGTCTAGAATCGAATAATTTTATGGAAGAAAACCTTTCAAACAGCCATAGTCCGTAAACTGCACACGTGCCAGGCTGTGATTGGCTCATGTATTTAAGGATTCCTATAACGCAAAATTCTTATAAAGTGGAATGTATCTACCACGTTATAGGGGGTTGACTGTACTTTCTGACAGAACATAAAATGAATATAACCAAAATTTCATTTGAATTGAACAATGTTAAAAACTCGTTGACCTTTGGTTTAGTCTTCCTGAACTGGAGGACTAAACCAAAGGTCAATGGGTTTTCAACATGCATGAACAACAACCTGTACGGTCTTGCCCTTAAGCTGGATCAAATCAGCTGTAGCGCTCGTTTATTAGATGTCAGCATGTGTCTCAATAGGGCCAGGTAGAAATGAGCATTTATTACAAACTGGGATACGTACCACTGTTCATCTCAGCAAACTTGTCTGTCCCCTTTTTGTATAAAATTGCTGCATTCCATGCACTAACCAGATGGGCCTTCACTCATCACACCAATAGGCACGACACTGCTGGGCTACAACATATAGAAGATATAGTGGTTGAACATGGCTACAAAAGAGACATGGTACATAGTTTAGCCTGTGCCTATGCCAACCTACTTGCCACACACAATGTTTCCAACACCCAGTCAACTTCTAACAGATACCAACAATGCATCACTAGCTCCAGGTGTACCATAGTTTAGTTCAATCAACATTTGAACTCCTTATACAAAGATATTGCAGTCAGAGTGGTACAGAAATCGCATACAGTAGATCCAGTACAATATACAAGTTGCTACACAATGCAAAAGATAAAATGGATCAAAGCATATCCCCAGGAGTGTACTCTATACCTGTAAGGGATAATAGATTCAAAGATTCCAAAATTCATTTATTTAACTCTGTTCTTGAAATTAAACGATAGACAAACACCACTAAGAATTTCACAAACATAGTTAAATAAATGAAAGTCAAGACCTGATATGGAAAGCTTAGGAGCAGGAGGCCTCAATTAACTATATATATAAATCTGCAATTTGAAAACTTTCACCCAATTAATTAAACTATATAAATTTTTACTATATTGCTTTTATGTGTTTTAGTTTATGGAAATTAAATTTTATATGGTGCAATTTATGTAATTTATAAATCTTTTAGTTTCCTTAAATGAAAAAAAATAAAAAAATCATATAATTATATCATTTTTATTAGTTTTAATTTCTGTGTTATTTTGTTTTCACATTGATACTTCAGATACTATTTAGTAATAGTTTGGACTTGACTTAAGTGTTTAAGTTTAAATAAAATAGATACTTATTTTATTATTAATTTATAAAACTGTAACTATGTTATATTAACAATCCACAAAACCTTTTTATAACATTATTTACATCTCGGGCATCATCGTTCCAACGGTCAAGAAGAGACACCATTTAGTCATCACCTGAAGACCTCAGTGGAGGTCGAAAACGTTCATGAAGTTTGTTACGGAGACAACACTGTTATAAAAAGGTTTTGTGGATTATTATTACTCAACGCAGTGTTAAGATTAGAATTCGTTTTGTATGTTGTATTAAAAATTTATTTGCTTATTCAAGTACTCAGCTTAGTACTGGACATTATAGAAATATATGCCCAAATTTTTAATATTTGTTTTTTACTGCCAATTTTTCATGCAGAATTACCTCTACCACATCTTTAATTTAGACTTTGATTTAGATTTTGTACAAATTTCATTGCAAAAAATTTTTAAAAAGACAAAGCAACGTTCAAATGTTCAAAATTCATATTATAGCTTAATGGGCCATGCAAATTTGAATTGGGGGCCCCAGTGTTGACTTCAGACATTTTTTTTTTTCAGGAGAATTTTGGGGAATCCCGTGGTTTTCTTGTTTGTGTTTTAATGCAATCTCTAGAAAAAGTTCTATGCTATACCTATGCTGTATCACACTGGGAATTTGGGGACCTCATAAAATATAGCACTAAATTTAAATTTTGACATTCTTGGTATAGTAATGAATTTATAAAAGATTGGTTTGGTTCCATAGGATAATGCACCACTGTCAAAATGCATTATTTCATTACTTTATTGACGGAATTAAAAGATAAAACATTCATAGAATTCCAAATACTTTCAAACATTTTGATTTATCATCAGAAACAACTTACAAGAAACATTAACATGACAAAATATTTGAGTAAGTTTTCATGAAATTCACATTCTAAAATTTCCCCTAATGATGAACCAGAGGGTTTGCAAGTATTTGTATTTTGTAAACATTTACATTTTATTTCCCAATAAAACAATGAAATACTGTAAATTATTTTATGCATATAGGCCTACTTTAATTTTGCAAACAAAAAACTGACTTGTGGAACTTATCTACAGAAGAAAACAATATGACCGTACCTTGGGATTTAATTTCATATTTAATATAGAAAACAGCATGCTACAAAATATAGTATCTGGAATGGCAAGCATTCATGTCTATAGTAGTGTTTAACAAACACTATGAATTTTATTCCCTTTTAGCATTCATGGGAAAATCAATTGAATTAACTGTTATTTTTTGTCCTTCTAAAGATAAAACTAAGGCATTATTTGTGGCTGAAAAATACTATATACAACACAGTAACACTATAAAACATGTATAAATATTAATAAACAATGCTTTTTGCCCACGACTATAAATTAGGCAGAATTAGATAACCTAAATAGAGTATAACAATTTGCTTGGTGTGATAAGCCCTGCAAATTGTTATACCCTGTTTAGGTTATCTAATTCTGTCTAATGTATAAATATTTTCAATAAAAATAATTTAGAACTTAATACTCATTTAGTGTGCTGTACATAAATATGATGTTTTTATCTTTTATTTAAGTTATAATCTCCAAGAATGTTTTAACTGACAATGCACATTGTTTAACATTTCAGCCTACCCATTTCATAATACAGTAGTTTGCTTTACCACTGCATTTTAGATATTTGTTTACTTTGAAGTCATTTCTCAGCTATTATTAAAGAGGCTTACAGAAAAAAGAATTAACAGAATTCTGATTTTCTGTTGTATGCCTATTATGCACATTTATGTATTCTGGTTGTTTTTGTAATTTTGTATATGTTAATTATGTTCTGTGTTCATTTGTAAGGAACAGTTTTAAAACAATGTTCTTTGCTATTTTTATTCCATTTGCCAAATAGTAGTGCTCTGTTCTCTGTGAATGAAGAGCCAATATCATTCACATTATAGAAAATAAACCTTTTCTATAATTCTGATAGACAGTTGTGTGGTTAATTTTAAAACATTATTTGGTGTCTAGTGTTTTTACATTTTATAAAAGATAGTTTGAAAAAGAATGTGGATTATATGTTGATTTTAAACTACAGTAACAAACTCATGCATATAGATAAATTGGTACTCCCTTGGGTGTGGGGTATACAATGGGATGAGTTATGCAAAGGTTTTATTTTTGTTCTAACAGTTTTCTAAGGGATATATGTTAGTTTGGATTTTACACACAAAAATGGTAATTTTTAATTTAAAGATTTTATTGAATGATAATATTTGATCTTATTCTAATTTAATTATATTAATATGAACTGATATTTTTAGCAGATCAAACATGGATATACCTGGGCTTGATGACATACTTCATAGTTTAACACACTTACATGATAATTACAAATGGACTTTATCATTTGCAGGTATGTTAATACTAATATTGTGTTTTATGCTATAATGATTTGTAAATATTTTTGAAATTGTATATTACTTTTTAACAATATTTTTAGAATTAACTTTTACTTTATGTATTTTTTCCATGTATAATACACACCTATGTTTTTTGGTTCAAATTTTCAGAAAAAAATCTTTTGTCTTAATTTTTTAATTAAAATTTTTATTTGTTTATATTTAGATACTTGTTTTTTGTATTATAAAATAATTTTGGCATTTATTTTTTAACATATTATTATGGCACAAGAAATTTTATGTAATAAATAATTACAAAACATAAGAACAAAGATACAAAAAATTTTATGCAGAGGTAACAAATTTATGATGTTTTCACATCATAGAAGGCCAAGAACTCTTCATTATTGTCAATATCAATATCAGAAGTATCATCATCATCATTAATTTCTACATTATTGGTGTCTTCTGAAGAGTCATTTCCCTTATCCCATTAAATTTCATCATCCTCAGTTCCATTCATCATTGAAATCATTAAAAATGTGGCATCAGCAATGCTGTATTTTTTTAAAATGATTTCACAATCACCTCCTTGACACAATATTAGGATACAATCACAAGTTTTGGCAATGGATGCTTTCTTGATTTTGCCTGTAGGTATTGAATCACTACCAGTTGACTGCATCCACGATATCCATTTTTTCTTCATTAGAGCCTTAAAGGGCTTGATTACTGATACATCAAGAAGTTCAGTTGGCTGGTTAGCCCAGTGTTCTGCAATCTTTTTCTATTTGCAGCACACCCATGACTCAACATGGCACACCAAAATGTTATTCCCCTCAAAAACGTATGATATGATACTATTAATAGAATTACGTAATGCCACTAACCTATTATTATCATTATTAAAAGACATCAACACCTGTGAGCAAATTTATTTTACATATAATTTCTGAGAATACATAAAAATGCATATCTTGTAATAAAGAATATACAATCATCATCTTATTTCATCAGTGCTGTGGCAGAGAATGAAATACAAGCTTAAGAAATGCAAAAACTGTGATAAAAATATATAAATAAAACTTGAAATTAACAGAATATGTAAAAGTTCATGTCACATCTTTTACCATGTGACGGCACACCGGTTGCAGAACACTGGATTACCCACCTGGATTCACAGCAAGTTGGGTTTTTGAGTCTGCTATGATTGCTTTTGCACTTTGTGTAACATGGACTTTGAAGTGATCAAAAACAAGCATATCTGTTTTAAATAAAAAACTTAATACAAGTACATGGCTGGCATTATTCACATTTAATAAATATAAAAAATATAAATTCGACTTTACGAAGATAAAACTGCATTTTGTCTTTCTTTTTTGCCATGCACATCATCAGCATCCTTAAATAATTCACAAAACTTCGGAGATGACCTTTCTTTTGAGGCCACTGCCTCCGCAAAAGAATGTAAAACAGGTAAAGTTCATCTTGATTCTGCTACTTTGGAGGTTATTATTTTCACATTGCATTCTTTTGTCTTGGCATTTGAAGAAGCTTTTCCTCCTATTGTCTCCACAGTCTGATGACACACATTGTGGGAGTAGATCCAAAGTGTCTCTTGGCAGCTCTATTGCCATGCCCTTCAGTATATTTAATAACTGTCACTTAAAACTTGCAGTGTACAAAAACTCTATTGACAATAACTCTCCAATACTGGAATAGAATAAACATATAACATACCAATACCACAAACTTGAAAATTAAGAAATATTTACTACCATTTTCATCTGAATACAGAAAACTATTCTACACTTAGCACTGGGGTGAAATCTACACTACACTGTCCAGAACCTGTAACCGGTGCGCTACACGTATACACTGTATATCACTGTTGACAAACATTTTCGAGCAATCTCTTTGCTCTTCTTCAGGTCAAGTGGAATTCCCTGGACAGAGTGTATTCTATTTGTTGGGATCGAGTGTCAATTCTGAAGGAGTGGGTCCTTTCTGACACACACGGTCGTGTGGTGGGGGAGGAAGTGACGGGTTCGCATCCAACAGTGATTGCCAGGCCAGAGAGAGAGTCAGCTCTTCCTTCCGGTTAACGCACGTGGTTAGCCAACCAGCATTGTAGATAGCCGTGGCCTCCAGCCACCTGAGATGCTCTTGGTGGGGTGTGTTGATGATAACAGTAGCTTTTTCGAATCATGCTTCGACTTCGGGATCCGACGCATATGTGGCCAAGGCTGTGGTGAGTCTCCCGTGTCGAATATCCACCTGATGCTTGAACACCTACCTACAGGTGTTCAAGCACCAGGCGGATATTCGATAACCTACCTACCTACAATAACGACACCTACCTACAGGTGTTCAATATCGGGTTTAGCAATGTTTGTATATATTACGCCTTGCCGGGGCTTGCGATGGCCGGTTGAGTGCCTTGTAGAACGTAGGGCGTGGGCACTGAATGTGTTCCCAGCCGGTGTTGTAATAACCATCGATGGTTACATGGTTAGCTTCTATACGCTGGAAGAGGAGATCGGACTGGAGGTCCGGAGAGCGTAACTGGCAACACATCTGCACGGTAAGCAGGAGTTGTGGGTTTGAGTCCCGCTCCAGGCCAATTTTTTTCTCCCAGTGGTTCTAAATTATTTAAATTAATTTATTTATTTATAATTATTAAAGTTAATAAGAGATGGCGCATAACGCTTACCTCTAGAGCCAAATTGGTTACGTAATTCATTTAATAACTAGCCTTATACTAGCCCGATAGATTTTCGGCATTCGGTTGGTGTGTAGCTATATTATATATTGGGTTTAGCGATGTTTGTAAATTTTATTGTGTATAAAAATTAGATTTTCACTGTTGTTTGCTTTATGGAAAGAAATAAATCACTTATTCCACAGTACAACATAATAATATATTTAAATGAAGGGAAGAGTAATATTTTGTCAGGCAATATAATTAAACTTCCACTCACATAAATAACCTTTGCATTAATTATTTTAAAACTCACCTTGATTTGAAAGAATGTTTTGCTGCAGCTTTCCAGTTTATTACAGATCCAGCTGATATACATGACAAACTATAGAAAAATAGTCACATTTTGGCATGGGTAACTGGTTTCATGTCTAACACACTACCTAAAATAAAATGACATTGGATGCCAAAATTAAATGTAAAAGGCACAAAAATGTTTTACTGCATAGATTTCAATTGCCACTGAATGCAGAACAGCAGCATTTTGACACATGACTTCAAGGAATGCTGATTTGCTTATGGAATTAGTCACTTTGAAATAAAATAAGTTAGTGATATGTGACACACTGGAATAAAGCATGAATTTTACAGTGAATGTTTTGTAGGTATTTGAGTGACTTTGGTTATAAAATGTTACTAATGATATAGTAGTCATCATGAAAAGTGTGTAGCTTCTCTTACCTGATTTTTTTCCGAAAATGTTTGCCATTTTGGAAAGAATTTCTTCAAAGTAATGTCAACAACAAATAAAAGAAAACTTTGACTTTAGTAATATATCTTGAAGATTTAATGTAAATGGCCAAAAATGTTTGTTGTTTAATCTATATTTTTATTTTGCCTTTTTTTAAAATATATTTACTTCTTAAAAAAGCAATTATATTGTTACAATTCTAAGCTGCAATTTTTTTAAATTTAAAATATATGATTGCCACCTCAAATTAGTAGTGGCTTGTTCTGTACATCATACTTTTCCTTTAGCAATAGAGTTGTGCTGGTCATCTATTAACTGCTTTCAGGGGAAATTTTGAATTGAAATAACATGACCTGGTTTGCATTGGGCGTTTGTATATAGTTAATTGGGGCCTCCTGCCCCTAAGGTTTCTATATCTGGTTTCTTCTTTCATCTATCTAACTCTGTTCTCGAGATTTAGGAAAGACGGATGGATGAATGACAGTGGGAATTCATAGGTGTACAATTTTTTCAAATTGCAGCCCAATGAAATTAAAAATTTCTAAAAAATATAAAATAACCTTCTGATATATAAATCCCAAATGTTTTTGGATCATTAGATCTGTGCTCTGGAGGTTAACACTTACTTTTTTTTTTTTTTTCTATCAGTAGGTTGTAATAAAATAAATTTGACCCTAGAGGAAGGCACTAGGTGCCATCTTGTATTAAATTTAGTTGTTATAATTTAATTAAATAATTTTAGATTAAACTGTAAGACAAGAATCGGCCCAGAGTGGGACTCAAACCTGCAACTACCACTTACCATATGGATGCATTGTCATTTACGCTATCTGGACCTCTGGTTCTTGGCCTGATTCCTCCCTCTAGGGTCAAAATTATTATAGCTGTTATTTAGCCTGATCTCATATGGCAGTTGTAGTAGATTTATAGTATTTTAAAATGTTAAATACTGAAATAAGCATTTTTTTGAAATGTAGCTTAAGAACACAATACTACTTTGGATACTACACTTGCATTAAATAACCATACCACAAAAATCCTTAAAATGCAGTGATACTTTTTAATATGTTCAATACTTTTTGTGCGTGTTAAAAATATGTTCCATTCATTTCAAATGAAAACTGCCATTCAATCACTATTTTTTATCCTGAAGAAGGATGATAAAAATGACTGAAACGTTAGATTAAAAAGTATTGCTGCATTTTAAGATTTTTTTGTGGTGTAAGAATACAATATTGTAAATATTCTTATTACATATATAATGTTGCATAAAAGGCTTAAAGTAAATAATATATAACATCAAGCTGTTAATAAATGTGCTTATTAATTTTTTAACTGCAGATAGAAGGGTTGCAGATTGGCCTTTAATGAGCTCACCCTTGCCAACCATAATTCTTATCATCCTTTACCTATTAACAATTCATTGGGGACCTCAGTTAATGTCTAATAAAGAACCTTTTCAACTTAAGTGGACTCTTGTGATCTATAATCTTACTGTCATGCTTTTGAACTTGTATATTGGGGTTGAGGTATGGATATGTGCTGTTTATTTGCATGCCTTCACCAAACTACTAAACTAAACGTATTGATTAAATTGCATGTCTGAAGCAGTTTGAATTTTTTTTTAATCAGATATTGGTAGTACATTGAAAATTCAGATTTCTAAGAACTTCATTTCATCTTTATATTTTAATATTTAAGTTATATCATTGTGCCTTGAAACGTCAATACAACTGGTCCTGCCAGCTGGTTGATTATTCTGACAATCCATATGAAGTCAGGGTAAGATAATGTCATTAAACATAATGTCATGGTATACATACAATCAGTTACTAATGTAATATTTTGATTTAGATTGCAAAGGCTTTATGGTGGTACTATTTCTCAAAACTAGTTGAATTTCTTGATACTATATTCTTCATTCTACGGAAGAAGAGTAATCAACTCACATTTCTTCATGTTTATCATCATTCAACAATGTTTGGATTATGGTGGATTGGAGTGAAATGGGTACCTGGTGGATCAGGTAAAAAAAATTTTTTTAATTAAAAATAATAAACTTTTATTATGCGATTTTTCTTTGATCATGCACTGTTGAACTAAAGTTAAATTTTCTCAAAATAATTATTACAGAAAAAAGTTTTTATGAATGAAAAATGATCTTTTTAAATAAATTTGTAATAAACTTTATTTTTGGAGATTACATATCAATATTTTTTATTTTAATTCTCCAATGAATATAAATGGTATCAAATTCATTAGAGAGATTTTTTTTTAAATTTTAAATATCTAAGAATTAAATAAAGCAAAGAAAAACTATAGTATATTATCACTGATTTTGATCAAACTTAGTGAGGATATAGTGCATCCCCAACGACTGACATGTGCCAAGCAGTAAGGTACTTATGTCAGTTGTTGGGGATAATAACTTTAAAAATACCAAGAATAAAGTGTAAATTATAGTTTTAATTTTTTAAAAAATATCACATTGATACTGACATTTGAAACCCCAGCTTGATTTGAACGTACTCCATATAGCCACTAATCACACTATAAATAATAGATATTCTAAAGGTTTTCAGTGATTTGTGCAATTTTCAACTTAAATTTTTAAATTTGAGTAGGGCACCTTACTGCTTGACACATGTTAGTTGATGGGGATGCAGTATATCCTCACAGAGTTTGATCAGAATCTGTGGCCCCCAATGTCATGCCATCCTCTCTTTAGACAAAGTTTAATGGTAGGTCAGGAATACAAAAACAAACCATTTTTTCCTAGGAACATACTCCTGTGATTAAAAAGTATTGGGAATGGTTCAATAAAATGCAAGATTTGAATTTATTCACCAAAATTTATTTTGTTCCCTTCAAAGTTCAGTCAACCCCCTTATAACGTGGTAGATACATTCCACTTTATAACAATTTCGTGTTGTAGGAATCCTTAAATACGTGAGCCAATCACAACCCGGCATGTGTGCAGTTTACGGACTATGGCTGTTTGAAAGGTTTTCTTCCATGAAATTAATCGATTCTAGACTAATTTGACTCAACATTTCCAAAACACGTATAATTTTTAGGAATAATCGTATAAACTATGCTATAAACAAAAAATTGTAGGATTACTTACTGAGTGTACATCGTTCGACGACGCCGTTGCTTAAGCTTGTTTTTGTCGCAGAGCAGTGCACCAAGTGGCGGGTGCATTTTCTGATAAGTTATTTTTATGCGACAAATTCGTTGAACTTTGGAGACATCATTAATAGAAATAATTTTTATGGCCGTTGAATAAGAAATGTTTTTTTCACAAAAAATGTATAAAATTACAGTACTGTATTAGGCTTACAGTACCTAATTTATATATTATAAAGACGATAGTAAACTCAACTTACACGCCTAAACTCTCCATAACGTGTCAGTAGTTAAGCTGCTCGTCCACTATTGGTCCAGATTTGACCAATCCTGTAGCAACATAAGTCGGTGATGACGTTTTACCGCATTTTACGAGTCTCTTTTAGCGTCTTTATACGAATACGGTCGCAATTTTTTCGCCGCAATATACAAACCTGCATTATATGAACTCGCATTATAGGGGAGTCTACTGTAATTCTCTGCCACCATAATGCACTTATGCCAACATTTTTCCCAATCCTCAGAACATGCTTTAAAGTTGTTTTCATTAAACCCTTTTGGGACTCTAAGTGATTTTTGTTTTATGGCATCAATCAACTCAAAATGATGATCATGAAGTGTACATTTTTGTTGTGGAATCAGGAAGAAGTTGCTTAGTACCATATTATGTGAATTATATTATGTGAATATGGAGCTTGTGGAACCATATTTGTTGAGTTTTTAGTCAAAAATTCACAAACAGATGAGCATTGTGAGTAGATCCATTATTGTGGTGCAAAATCTATGAGTTTTCTTGACACAATCAGGTTGTTTTCTACAGATTGCTTTATGCAAATGATGCAAAACACTCAAATAATAATCTTTGTTGACAACTTGGTCAGTTGAAAGGAATTCATGATGTGCATACCATGACATTTGTAGAAAACAATCAACAAAATCTTGATTTTTGATTACTTTGATATGGTCTTTTCAGTCTCTTTTCACCTTTTGAGCATTGTTCTCTTAATTGTCGAGCTGCTTTGGTGTTTAAAGCATAGATCTATGTTTTGCCACCCATAGTGGTGTATTTTAAGAATGATTTGCCATGAGAAAGCATTTCCTAACCCAGTTGAACATGTTTTTGTAAAAAATTCAACATTTTCAAGACAACTCAAGAAGTGATGTGCTCCAAGTCCAAACAATCTTTTAATTTAAAATTGCTTGACAAGATACAAATGATACTGGAATATATATATATTATATTCAATAATGTTCCTAATTGTTAAATGTGTTGTTCATCAGTTGAAGTGGATGGTCTATCAGCGCATAATTCACTTTTGACACATTTTCTGATTCCCTCAGCATCTTGTACCACTCAAACTCTTGTTTTTCATAGACTATCATCACCAAAGACTTTTTACATTTCCAATTTTTAGTAGCAGTAATTCCATTGTGAAAACAAAATTTAATGCATGTTTTTTGCTCAGTTACACTTGACATTTTGAAAAATTGCCAAGACAGAAATTTTTACATACAAGACAAGTATTTACTTGCAAACAAAAGCAGACAATGACATATAGTCTGTGATAATAAAAGATAAAATGACAATAAAAGTTGTATCAAATGACAACAGCACCCTGTTGTGTGTGTGCAGTTTAAATGAATCATTCCTGATACTTTTAGGTCACAATAGTATAATCAAAAATGTTAACAAGCTTGTAGTAAACAAGGATTTGTGAAGGAAAATGGGAACAAATTATTTACATTAAACTAATATTACAGGTATAAATTGCTTGTATAATACTTATTTATATGCAAAATTATTATTCTTTAATATGTTAATTAACATTTAACAGAATGTGCTCAACAAACAATTAGACAATTATAACACACCTTTTTTGTTGTCAAGATAGTTTTATTTATTTAAAACTAATGTTTCCAACTTCTTTAGGTCATCTTCAAGTTGAAATAGATTGGAACATCTGCATTCCATAAAATGGAATACATACATTTAAATTCAAAAAATTGATAACAGAATAAAAACAAGAAAATAACATAAGAATAACTTATAAAAATATANAACAACAAAAATAATAATAGACAAAAAAAAAAAAAATTTTAATAATTATGATTTAGCAAACTTTACAAGAAATTAAAAATTAATAATTAAGACAAAATTAAAGAAAACTTTTCAAGCAATAGTTGTCTTCAGTCAACCAATAAATGTAGTAAGAGTTAATTAATATAATTAGACAATTATAACACACCTTTTTCATTCTCGAAATAGTTTTATTTATTTAAAACTATTGTTTCCAACCTCTTCTATAGGTCATCTTCAAGTTGAAATAGATTGGAACATTTGCATTCCATAAGATGGAACACATACATTTAAATTCAAAAAATTGATAACAAAATAAAAACAAGAAAATAACATAAGAATAACTTATAAAAATATACATATATGAAATAAAATAAAAAACAAACTCAGATATATTAATAAACATAATGATCCAGTAATATTACCTTGAACATTAAAATAAATTATTAAGGTATAATTGACATAACGTGCAACTATAAACTAATGTATCAATATAAATTATGAGTTCATCGCAAACTTTTTGACCATAAACTTCAAAGCCGATTGTATGCCTCCTGCTTTCCTTGCATTTATGCATTCCTCTTCCAGTTTGCTCTTGTATATTTAAATCTTTTCAGCGATCCTTGCTAATGTTGGGGAGTGCAAGGGTTTGACAATGTCCACTTCATCCCATTTTACTATCGAGCCTTGGGTTTGCGCCATCTGTGAAAGTATTGTTATGTTGGAATCTTTTCTGATGTTATATTTGTGTCCTTTGAATCTTACACCCAAATTCCGTGTTGTGACGCTGATATATTCTTTCTTGATTCCTAGCTGTACATTTTCTTAAGGAATCTTGTACACCCCTGCTTTTTCTTCTTTCTTGATATTATCTTTGTCATTTCTTAAAATTTTATATAGGTTTGGAGCTCTTTTCAGAATCATTCTTGACTCCTTGTGGTCTGCAAGTTCTTTCATAATGTCTTTTATACTTCTGTTATATGTAAACTTTATGATTTTACTGGGTTCATGGTCTTGAAGCTCTTTTGTGCACATCTCGTATCTTCTAGCTATTCCTGTTATTGTGCCTGTTTTGTATCCTAGGGCTTCGGTTACTTGTACAATTCTGTCGATTTCCTTCGCTCTGTCCACAACACTGTCACAATATAGAAAGGCCCTTCTGATTAGAGCCCAGAACGTTGCCAGTTTATAACGATACAAATCATTTGATTGCAAGGGGATGTAAAGCAGGCTATCCATTGGTATGATGTAAACACTGGTAGATAAATGACCTTTCTTAAACTGGATGTTAATGTCCAAAAAATGTACCGTTAAAGAACTTTTCTGTTCCATTCTTAATTTTAGGCCATTGTTGTTACCATTGATCCCATCAACAAATTCATTTATCTTATGGTTATTCTTCCATAAGATAAAGATATTTTCCACATATCTTTTAAAGTATACAATATCTTTTCTGAAATCATAAGGAACTCTTTTCTCCAGTTTTCTAATGACCAACTCACATACTATTCCTGAGATTGGACTTCCCATTGGAACTCCCTTTTTTTGTCTGTATGTCTGGCCATTAAAGCTAAAGCAAGATTCGTAGCAAATCAGGTTAGCCAGCTCTACTACCTCGTTGTTGTAACGAATCAATTTGGGGATTTTGTTGAACATGAATTCCAATAGTGCTTCCATCCAAAATTTTATTTTTATGGAAGGATACAAGTTCTCATAATCCAATACCGTTCCTACTTCCTCTTCCATCAATGCACAGCCCACTTTACATTCCCTCACAATCAAATGATTCGTATCGTTATAAACTGGCAGCGTTCTGGGCTCTAATCAGAAGGGCCTTTCTATATTGTGACAGCGTTGTGGACAGAGCGAAGGAAATTGACAGAATTGTACAAGTAACCGAAGCCCTAGGATACAAAACAGGCACAATAACAGGAATAGCTAGAAGATACGAGATGTGCACAAAAGAGCTTCAAGACCATGAACCCAGTAAAATCATAAAGTTTACATATAACAGAAGTACAAAAGACATTATGAAAGAACTTGCAGACCACAAGGAGTCAAGAATGATTCTGAAAAGAGCTCCAAACCTATATAAAATTTTAAGAAATGACAAAGATAATATCAAGAAAGAAGAAAAAGCAGGGGTGTACAAGATTCCTTAAGAAAATGTACAGCTAGGAATCAAGAAAGAATATATCAGCGTCACAACACGGAATTTGGGTGTAAGATTCAAAGGACACAAATATAACATCAGAAAAGATTCCAACATAACAATACTTTCACAGATGGCTCAAACCCAAGGCTCGATAGTAAAATGGGATGAAGTGGACATTGTCAAACCCTTGCACTCCCCAACATTAGCAAGGATCGCTGAAAAGATTTAAATATACAAGAGCAAACTGGAAGAGGAATGCATAAATGCAAGGAAAGCAGGAGGCATACAATCGGCTTTGAAGTTTATGGTCAAAAAGTTTGCGATGAACTCATAATTTATATTGATACATTAGTTTATAGTTGCACGTTATGTCAATTATACCTTAATAATTTATTTTAATGTTCAAGGTAATATTACTGGATCATTATGTTTATTAATATATCTGAGTTTGTTTTTTATTTTATTTCATATATGTATATTTTTATAAGTTATTCTTATGTTATTTTCTTGTTTTTATTTTGTTATCAATTTTTTGAATTTAAATGTATGTGTTCCATCTTATGGAATGCAAATGTTCCAATCTATTTCAACTTGAAGATGACCTATAGAAGAGGTTGGAAACAATAGTTTTAAATAAATAAAACTATTTCGAGAATGAAAAAGGTGTGTTATAATTGTCTAATTATATTAATTAACTCTTACTACATTTATTGGTTGACTGAAGACAACTATTGCTTGAAAAGTTTTCTTTAATTTTGTCTTAATTATTAATTTTTAATTTCTTGTAAAGTTTGCTAAATCATAATTATTAAAATTTTTTTTTTTTTTGTCTATTATTATTTTTGTTGTTAAACAATCATAAAATATTTATAGCTGCTCCTGGTGCTATGGCTAATTCATTTGTTCATGTTGTCATGTATTTATATTATGGACTTTCTGCTTTTGGACCTTCAGTTCAAAAGTACTTATGGTGGAAAAAATATTTGACTGTTCTTCAACTTGTAAGTTACTTCATCTATTATTAAAATTATTTATTTTAATAAAGTTTGCTGTATCTATGATTTCCTATAACATATGTTGTAAATTTAATGATTAAAGTTTTAAACATTATAAGAATTTGTTTGAAAAAATTAAATGATTACATTACAAATTTTTAACTTAGTCAAATTTTAAATTACCTATACAAATACAGTACATTAATATATTATTTATTACATATTTTATAAAGATATTATTATACAATGATTGTTTTTTATTCCTTCAAATAGATTATCAGATTTGTTTTTCTTCAGCAAGAATCAATTATCTGCTTAGGCTATACAAAGAGTTTTACAAGAAAAATTGATGGAATCGTATAGATGGATTGTATAGATATACAATTCCATCAATTTTTCTTGAACATTTTTGAAATGTCAATAAATTTCAGAAATCAATTTTTTCTGTTTTTATTGGTTGAAGTGAATCATTATATCATAGGTATTTTCTGTGGCATTGTTAGAATTAAACTTAGCTACTAAACAAATCAATAGATATGGTGAAGCTATTGTGCTTTCTATAGAAGGGAGCAAACAGCTATAGAATTATATAGAAAAGGTTAAGAGGGCAGGAATTTACCATAGGTATAGGAGACATGATTTTAAAATAATGAATTGTCAAGAAAAACATGAGGATTAAAAAAACCAGTAAATATAAATGAAAATTTAATTATTTTACACCTAAAAGTATAAACAAAATATAAAATTGCAACATTTAACAAATATTTTGCTTCTGTTTTTTCATCCGTCGTTCACTCCAGTTGACAGTCCGCAATTTCACAAGTATGGAGACGCCTTTTCTTTTGAGGCTACTGCCTCCACAATAAAATGCAAATATGGTAAAAACATCATCTGGTGCTAACACCACTTTCCTAAAAAATACGTGTTTAAGTAAATATAAAATATATAAATCATGGCTGATGGTATTACATTTAATTATTTTACACTTAAAATAAATGAAAATTATTACATGTTATTGCAAATGCCATTAAAAAATAAAGATTCTTGCTAGCAAAGATGAGAAAAGGGAAATAGCTAGACAAACTGGAGTAGCATTAGGAACAATTAACAACATTATCTATAAAGATTTAGACATGAATACCAGAAGAAAGCAGTCTGTTCACTGATTAAGACCATAACACATTAAAAATTAAAAGAAAACTTGCCACAAGCTATATGAGAAATTTTTAGCTGACCAAACATCAGAATTTGCAGTAATAATGGATAAAGCATGGATGTATTTAAAAAATTATAATGGAAAAAGAAAAATTTGTTACATTAAATGAGATGAAAACATGCCATTGGATCAAAAAACATGCAGAGAACTTTCCTGGTGGTAGCTGCTTTGAGTGGCAGAGGAACATTGCCATTAATTAGAGATTCTTGCTAAATTGAAGATATATGCAGAATACTATATTCAGCATTGTTTGGAATCAATTTTTGCATATTTGGAGGAAAATTTGTATCCTAGAGAAATGAACAAAAATTTTTTCCAATAAAGCATCATTGCAACACTGCTTAAAAAAACACTTGACTATTTACTCAAAATATGTTGGATTCAGGCATTTCTAGATAAACAAGACATATCAGTCAGTCTCCAGATGCTTTATTACTTGATTTTTACTTTCCTGGCTGTTTTGTATACATAACAAGGGAAGTATTGAAATCATGTCAGATTTGATCCTCCAAGTTTTTGCAAATCATGTTTTGAGACCTCCTGAATCCAAAAAAGTAAAAAAAAAAGGCAAAAAAATTCCATATGTATGTGTTGATGTCTATTTCACTTAATATCTCAGGATGGGGTGAAGATTAAGAAATAAAATTTGGCATGATGGCTTGTATAAAGGGGATTAATGCTATTGAATTTTGATAGTGACTGGTCAAGAGGGTGGGGGGAGAGAGGAGAGTCATATATCTGGAGAGGGGTAGGACTTAATGAAGATTTTATTCATTATTAACATTTACACATTTTTATAAAAGTCATTCCTATCCTTAAACTTTTTACCATTTTATAATAATGAAAAATGTAGAAAATTTTTTTTATAACAAAATCTAATAACAGATGGTGCCACACACAACTTTATTTTTTGTTTAATAATATAAAGGTTTCTTTTTAATAAAAACTCTTAACAGCCAGGAAAGTTACACAACTCTCATTGTTAGATTTTTTGCTTTTGATTTTCTAAAACAGTTTTTTTTTTAAATTCAAAGCTAATGTTTGTGGAAAGCTCTTAAACAAGAGTGGGATAAAAATTACAGTCAGTGTGATTCACTAGTGTAAAATAAAACATGTTTATAAAACATATAATCTGACTATATATATTTATTTTGTCTTTTCAAAATTACATATCAAAAAAGATCCTAAAATAACAAGAAATGTATTTCCATTCTAGTAGTTTGAAAACTCCTGTAATGCAGCAGCTTTTGAATTTTATAGTTTAAATTTAATTTAAAATTTTTTTATTAATTTATAAGTACTTTTGAGCTTAAATGGTATTTTAGTGATTCATGGATATATCTAGAATGTATTAGTCCAGTGTAGTACATTATATAATTTTATAATGTATATTTTAAAATACAATTTTTTAAATTTTAATAGAACTAGTAAGAGAGAATTATTTTAATAAAAAATTATAATTGGAGAAAAAGCAACTTATCTTAGGACTTTTTTAACTTTGAGAAGCATTAAACAATTAGTTTGAAAATAATAGTAATAATAGCTGGTTAGCTCAGGGATATCTCTTTGGGAAGACAGGATTAGGTCATAAATACTAAAAACTACAGAAAACACATCCTCAAAGATACAACACTCACAAATGACACATGCAGAAAATGTCACATCATGCCAGAAACTATACAGCATGTCACTTTTGGTTGCAAGCTGTTGGCACAGACAGATTATTTATACAGACATAATCAAGTAGCTAATATAATACACCAAGAGCTTGCAAACAAGCACAAATCATTAGACATCCACGAACCATACTACAAATACATTCCACAGACAGTATTGGAAAATAACACACACAAAATGACAGTCATAATCACAGATAAAACAATTTACCACAACAGACCAGACATCACACTCATTGACAAACACAATAAAATCACATGCATTACAGACATATCTATTCCAAACACTCACCACACCATGTATAAAACATATGCACTAAAAAAAATCAGCAAGTACATAGAACTTGCCCAGGAAATAAGGCATCTGTGGAGGATGGAAAGGGTGCTTATTGTACCTGCCATTCTCTCCTCTCCAGGTGTCATACCACATACACTACACAAAAGCCTGGAAACATTACAGTTGAATAAAAAAACATATACATCACAATACAGAAGGCCACTATATTGAATACATGTCATATTGTTAGGAAATTCCTGAATACAGACACACATACTGACATACTTATTTAATTTTTGGTTTGTTTTGGTTGCTATGCCTTGACTTTGGTCCAGCATAATACACAGCAACCAGTGTCAACCGAGTATAACCCACAATACCCAACATAATAGTAATAGTAATAATATGGTATTTTTGTAAAATATAGTGTAAGTGATAATATAACCTCATACAGTCAATAGTAAATGAGATAGAAATGATGAGAAGCAAACCAGGTTATTTACAAAACTTTATATACAAAACCTTATTTTAACCTTACATATATTATTAAAAAATTTATAAATCATATCTTTAAAGTGAAATGTACAGGTAATGGTTAATGAAATGGCTAGTAGTAGTAATATAGCCCAATATAATTTGGCTTTAGGCTAATGAAGTGTTTTTGACATCATCTCATAATCATTTAATGTTCATTATTTATTCATATCTTAGAATTTTATTAATTATGAATGAACTTTGTAATTTTAAGATTTTTAACGACTGATATTTAATTTTTAGATTCAGTTTATTGCAGCTGTAACTATGGGTATTAATGCAATTGCTACAGGATGTCGCTTCACTTTGTGGATGCAATATGCTCTAGTAGCCTATTCATTTTCATTTATACTTCTTTTTGGAAACTTTTATTGGAACTCTTATGTTAAAAAGGTATGTGCCTTTTTATTTTAATATCTATTTTATACTTAATTGAGATAATAAAATTATTTTTAATGTTTAGAATAAAAGGAAACAATTATCTACAGAAGAACATATTCCTAATGGAATAATAAAATCAAATAGTAGTCATTTCCATAGGAAATACATTTCCAGCCAAGGATCACTATATGCTGCGAGGAGAAAAGTAGACAAAGTCAGATCTTAAAATGCATCGGATTAACTAAAATTATTATAATTTTTTCTTTTAAATTTACTTAATTTATTAATCTTATTATTGATTTTAATTGTCATGATACTATAAATCAAAAAGTACTTAATAATAATAATAATAATAATAATAATACAGTAATAATAATAATAATAATGGATTGTATTGTAAAAATATATAACAACATTGTTTTTCTGAATTGAATCAATTTCCATAATTTTATTTTGTGACCAAATAGACTATTAAATAATATACAGTACATTAAATGTATTTGAGTGTTAAAACTTTTACAAAATACATGAAATGAAATTACAATCTCATATTTTAAGTAAAATTCTTATTTAATGTTAATAAGGATTTTTTTTAAAATGATACTTAAATGAATAAATTAATGTTGGATACACTTAGAAACAATTATTTGTTCTTTGATATCAGTCACACAACTAAAATTGAGATAAGAAATTTGCACCAATATTATTCCATAAATTAGATTTTTTTGTATAATAATTATTATTTTATTAACATTCATATCATATTAAATTTATGATGTAATGGCATTTCCTGCTGCATTACACTTTATTCATTTGTAATATTTACATGGATGAAATTTTGACTTTTAATATACAGTATATAAACTGCAAAATTGTAAACCCTTCTACATTTATTTTTTTTACCTGATCTGTTATTTAAATTCTTGTTTTGAATATAATTGAATTCTGACAAAAATTAGTTTACATTATTTTATGGCAAATACAACAAGTTAAATATCTTTCTTTTATAAAAATATATCTTCATTTATAACATTATCAAGCTAGAACATTAATGATTTTCATAATTATCTAGAATATTGAACAAATTTGACAAGAAATTTGAAATGCTTTCTAAAATTAAATTTTTTCTTTTTTATCAAAAGATTTAAGAAACATATTAATACGTTTACAGAATATTTGATAACACTATAAGATTTATTTATAAAAGAAGAGAGTGAGTGAGTACTTTCAACTTACACATTTAAAAATATCTTCAGTGATTCTTTAAACAATAAAAAATAACTTTTTAGTCTGTTTAAAGTCTAATTGAAGATGCTTATAATGTATAATAAATGAAAGTATAATATAGTTTTTAAATAAATCTTTTTAAGTTATGGTATTTAAATGTTTTTAATTTACTTTTTGAAATTTAATTTTATAATAAAGGATGAATTTCCTTTAAAGAGTTTTGTTTATCTTTATTGTGAAGTAAAAATTGGTAAGCTGTAACTGTTTTTCAAAAGTAATGTGTATTTATAATTACAATAATAATAATAATCCAAAATTAAAGAATTGAAACACTATTGTTATGAGTGAAAATATCAACATGTATTTTCGATACAGATGTTTAATTAAAATTATAATTTTAGTTAAATCACTTTTTGTTATTTAACATTACATAATTTCATGTAATCAGTTTTTAAACTTAAAAAAACTTGAGTCATAATATAGAAAATTAAATAAAGTAATTTTGTATCATTTAATTTATTCAAATTTAAAAAATTCTATTTGTTACATATTAAAATGGTTTATTATTTTGTAATTTTAATGTCTCAGTTGTTGTTGTGCTTTACACTTTCTAGAAACAGCTTATAATTTCTGTATGAATAAATTTTTAGATGTTCTGAGAAAATTAAGTTCTGAAAGTGTTTATCCCAATTTTAATCCAGGCTTCTAGAAAATGTAAAAACAATGTATTATCAATTTTTAGTTAAAGTGGTTTACTTTAGACTTAAGCACTGAATAATTTTATTGACAAGACAGCTATAGTTAACTTTACACTTTTAATTTTTCTTTATCCTCAGTTTAAACACAGGTATCCTTTGCTTAATGTGGTTTTACACAGGATTTAATTAACGTGTGAGATTGTGGCAATCCTTTTATATATGCAGCAGAAGTTTTAATTAACATGGCTTTACCAGTTGTCTTTACTTAACATAATGTGATTTTGATACACAAAGTAGCATCAAGGGATTATTAATTAACTGCATTAATCAAGGGATACCTGTAACTTTTCCCAGTATGTAACAAATATTAACAAAATCTTTTAGTAAGAATATTTTAATTGTTAAAATATTAAATGATTTATTACAAATCAGATTTTTTTTTGTCTTGATCCATTCCTTTTCCAATTTTGTATTTTATAATAGTTGCTAAGATTTACTTATTAAAACAATATTTTTGTCAGCATCAATTCCCAAACAAGAATTCTCATTTGGTAATTGATAAAAGTTACTGATAACACAGAAGTAAATTCTATATTATTAGTAATTGCTGTTTATGCATTCTAAATTAAATTTATTTACTGATGCTTCAATTTGTAATTATCAATAAAAAGAACATGTTTTTTTAAATCATATTTGTCTTAGCTGTAGAATATATTGATTTACATTGAGTTGTATTCATCAACATTTAAATAACAGTATTTTAAAGTTATAGTTAATAAGAACAAAAAGAAAATCTCTGACTATTCATAAAATTATTCTCCAGTTCTGAATTATTTATAATTAATTTTTACAATAATTTTCCAAACTTGCATTAAATTTATTACACTATTATTTTTATTATTATTATTATTATTATTACTGATTCAAAATTAATAATTTGCACATTTTCCCTACCAAATAAAATCAGAAAAATAGAGCGGGATTTCTTAAATGCTTTAAAGCTTGTTTTGTTACAGTTGAATTTATAAATTAAATTATTTTTATGTGATTTTTAATTAACATAAAATATGCTTAAATTCCTATTAAGTTTTACAATATAATTTATATCTTGTAATTGTGCTTAAACTATAAAATAAAACTGGAAATAATATGAGATGTATTGGAAAATGATTCAATCAGAAAGGCACATGTTTCAATTCTAAAATAAGGTATATATATATAATTTTAAAACAATTTTGGAAAGTAAAATAAAATTGAATTGTAAACAACAAGAACTTTTGTATTGTAAGTTTGTGTAAATTAACTTTATGATTTAAATGTATTTTTGTATAACATTTTATAATTAAGATTCTTTAGGTGTAAACATTTTACAGAAACCAATTTTAGATACTCATTAAATGAAATTTTAAGTATTATTACAAAATTAATATTAATATATATATTTTTTTAATTTTATTTCCAAGAAGTTACTATAAATTATTTTTTAGATGTACAATAAAACTTGTAATATTGCCTATAATTAATTTAAAATGCATTGACAGTTGAATATAATTATCATTCCTGACTAAACAAGTTTTAAATTATCATTTATTTTAATGTATTATTTTTGTATAAATATTTCAAAATTTTCATTTAATATTTAATTCTAATTTACATTTATATATTTAATCTTTTTTATTCTTATTAATGAATATTTTTTGTTATAAAAGTATTCCAATGCATTTTATATAGATTTACACAACTTTTAATGAATTTATGCATTATTTATTTAAAATGTGACAGAAAAATGCACAGAATTTTTGTAGATATTTTATTGTAAACATCTATATAGATACACAAACCAAATTAGTTGATAGAAAGTATTCTGAACATTTTTTGTACTTTTTTGTGCGTGTGAGTGTGTGTGCTAAAATTATAATAAAATAGTTACATTAAAAATTATTTTTATAGTTTCTTGAATTAATTTTTAATAAAGATTTTACATGAAATTTCCTGAGTGATTTTTATTTTCAATTGATGTTTTTATAAGAGGTTAAATTGTCAGATTTTTTTTTATTGTTAAAGAATGAATCCAAAAATACCTAGTTAATGTTGAATTAATTAAATAATACTGTTTCTTTTGGTAAAATTCAATTTGTTTTAACTTATTAAAATATCTAAATTAAATATGATGATAAATTTAATGTTTTGCTTTCCATGAACTTTTAGTAAATCAAGTCCAAATTGTATTATGAGATCAAATGCAAAAACTGGATTCATTAATGAGCTATAACTTGATTGATTTAATTATACAGATATGTAATTTTGACTAAAAGTTGCCATCTTGTATTAAATTTAATAATTAGAATAAAATTAATTAATTTAGAATATACTGGAAGAAAAGATTGTCCAGAGGAGGACTGAAATCTGCAACTCCTACTTACGTTGGACATGGGTTGCCAATTATACTATCCAGATGTCCATTTGATATTTGCTTCCAGACCGATTAATTTAGAAGATATAACCATACAGGTCATTACTGTGTGACCTATATACAGTAGTTACCTGTATGTAGAGCTTATGGAGTCACTGCCAACTTCATAATCTTTTGATCAGCTGAAATTGCATATATTATATTAATAGTTCAAAACTGTTGAAAACTTACAATAACACTGGAATTCTTTAAACTATATGGAAACTAAAATACCCGTAGCTAAATTTGTTTGAATATACGGAAGAAACCTAAAACATCATACCAATCAAAAATTTCTCTGAACTTATACAATGTGATTATTGTTTCATTATCTGCTGGAACTACACAGTTGAAATCTTTGTACAATTTCGTATTCACTTTTAAGCTTATATTTATTCTATATAAAAGAAATAATTAAAACACTAAAAAGTAATAAGACAAAACTTAAAAACGTTTTTTTAAAAAACCTTAGTCGGTTGTTATGTAAATATCTTAAAATATAGTAGTTAACATTAAATTTCATTACAAACTGTTTATCCGAGATAAAACTATATTAAAAGAGAGACACTAAATGTAGATGGCCTTTATAGAAGAAGAAAAATTGTCAGAAAGTTAAAATCTCAATTGTCAAAAGGTATGTGATACTGATGAGGATTGTTGAATCAAAATGTATTTATCATAATAAAGAAATTAAAGAGAAGTAAATTGATTTTTATTTTGTTATTCTGTAATGTTTCTCTCTTAAAATAGTTTTATATCAGATAAACAGTTGGAACAAGTCCGAAGACATTACACTTACAGTAGAACGTCGTTTATCCGAAAGTCGGTTATCCGAAAGAATTCCAGTCGGCAAATTTAAATTTTCTCTAGTATTGTTGCGCTGCAATCTTTGGCTATATCTTGGGCTACTCCAATATTTTTTGTGTTTGTATGTTTTAGCTGGCAGCACTGTCACTTTTGTGTGATGTTTTTCTGATGACCGTGTGTCATGCTGAATCGAACGTTTTTGATACTAGATAACTTCTGAAGTATAATTTTTTTTGTTTTTATATTTTTTAATATATTTATTTCGTTTGTAAGAAATAAAGAAATAATTTTTAACGATACAATAGCCACGATTATTATTTTAAAAAGTTTACGTTAGGTTTAACATCGACGAAAATTCAACGCGAAGATACACGCAACGGAGAAAAATTTCAACCTGTGATAGGTTAATTATTTTTTCGTATATAATCGGTTATCCGAAAAACAAGTTATCCGAACAAACCCAGTCCTTAATTGATTCGGATAAACGACGCTCTACTGTAATTTTATTCAAACAAAATGTGAAGTAAAAAGTTTGAAATAAGCTTTAAAGGGACTGTACATAAATTACATCCACATTTTTCTTGAAATTTTTACTCCTCGTGTCAGTTTATCCAAGTTTCCTTAACCTCCTCCACTCTTGGGACATCCAATGAAACTAACACCCCATAAAACTTTTATCATCATAAGATGCATTGCAAAAATATAAGGCCAGTTACATTTTTGAGCAATTTATCAAAAAATATTCACCTATAATTTTATAATTATAAAGAGATAGCAGCTCTTCATGATTGCAAATAGAGGCATAATTGAATTTATAACACCATTAATTGTCGTGATGACTAATTTTAACAATGGGTACAGGTAAGTCCTAAACTGCCTCTGAGTGTTGCCGAATTAGGGCCCTCCGTCAGGCTGGAAGTTTTGCTAGAGCTATTACAAAACAGCTGAAGAGATCTCACTGTGTTGTAGCCAATTTTATTTAATTCAGTGTGCAATATTGAAACAAAAACAAACTTGGATATCCTTCCAAGTTGACAAGGAAGTAGAAATCAGCAATTCTCTGGGAAATAACAACAGGAACATGATTAATATCAGGCCTATGTGCTATTTTACCTAATGTTCACAAATTCACACTTTTCCAGATGATAAAATCGACAAAAAATCTAATGGCCTGCTTTTCTATGTTTATACATATCTAAAACAACAAAAAAAATCTGATATGGGCCAAAAGAAATATGTCATGGACTTCAAAATGATGTGAATTTATTTGTACTTTTTTTTTACTCTCTGCCCTGTGGGCACTAAGAGGACCTCTTATGGCAGGTCCATTATGGGTTCGGCCAGGCCCACAATGGGACAACCGGATGGTGAGGTGGGGCCCGACATATCCGAACGGACCACCCCCCGGAGAGTTCCTGGGGTTTCCTTGACCCGTCCGGGTTCGATCCCGGATCCCCCAGAGCAGTAGGCTGCCACCTTGACTGCTCGGCCATCCGGCCTTTACTTATTTGTACTGATAAGAAAAAGTTTAATTTGGGGTCCCAATGGTTGGCAATTTTATTGGCATGATCTTAGAAGATAGCTTTTGTTTGCCAAACATCAGCAAGGAGGGGGCTCAGTCATGATCTAAATGTCTGAAAAATCAATTTAGCATTCATAAATGGCTGAATGAAGGCAGTTGGGTATCAAAACCTCTTGGATGTATATCTTCTGACATTTGGAGAGAGAATTATTAGTCCATTCTGGCAGCGGTTGGATGTCCGAGCGGTCAAGATGGCTGCCTACCGCTCTGGGGGACCTGGGCTCGAATCCGAATGGGTCGAAAAATCCCCAGGAATTTTTCGGGGCGTGGTCCGTTCGGATAGGTCGGGCCCCGTCCCTCACCACCCAGCAGCCCCATTGTGGATCTGGCCAACCCATAATGGGCTTACAAAAAGAGGCCCTCTCTGTCCCCACAGGGTGGAAAGAGTTAAAAAAAAAAAGATCCATCCTGGCAAATTTGTGGAATTTGCAAATTTGAAATTTTTTTACTAGATCCCAGGAAGGGACAAGTGTCCTGTTTGCTCCCCTCTGCGGACGTCCATGTACAGGATCAATGGCGCACCCAGGGGTGGACCAAGGAGCCCTGCACCCCCCAAAATAAAGAAAAAGACACTGGTAAATTTTCCTCGTTTAAATTAATTTTTTTATTTATATTGTGTCGTGTGTTGTATTTCTATATTACTTATGAATTAGCGATTACATAAGGTGGAAATTTTTTTGAGTTCACATTAAAACTTTTTTATCCGTTCAACTCGGTTCTCCCAAGATTAAATCTTGAGTGCCCCACTGTAACAGGATCATAATTAAATTTTTTTATTTGCTTCAACATTCCAGAGAAAAACATGTGACAAGCTTTAATATACTATATTTAAGAGAGAAGGAGGAGATTTATTCAAAAGTTAGGAAATTTTAGAATTTATAACTCAGTTGGCAAATGTCGATAATACTTTGATAATTTTCTTTGTATTCGAATAGCTCATTTCTATTGCCAAAAAAAGAGTTGCCAATGAAAATTTTCATAATTGTACGAAAATTAAGAATTACATTACATTAGTAAAAATTAAGAATTTTTACTAATGTAAATGGTTCTTTCTTGTGTAATCTGTTGTCATGAGATCGTTATAAGAGTATAATTTTTATTTTCCTTGCTACTATACCATGCTAATTCTCTTAAAACTATTAATTGCAATGAACAGTGTCTCGGTTGCAATTAAGATAGATTTAAAAGTTGAGCTGTGACAAGTCTTTGTAGATACAATGTCTGCAAGATACATTGTTTATACATGATACAAGATACATCTTTAATTAAAAATTACGTAAATCGGACTTTTATTTCTGTTTAATATTTTCATACGTATAAAAATTACCTATTAAAGTTTAGAAATATAATGAGACATTAAAGTAGAGTCGGTCAGTTCTTTCTGCATGAAGGCACTTTCTCGAAAACAAATAATCGTTCATTTTGTCATGAAAGAAGAAATAATTTGCTTTCGATGAAATTTTGAATAGATTATCTCTTATATCTTCATCTGGAATTCTGATTAAAAGACGGCATTTGGAATTTTTGAAGAGAAGAACAGGTTCTTTCAAACATGCTTTTCCATCACGATCACACACTAATTCCTGATCCGGAATTCTGTTACTTTCATAATCGACGCATCCTGAGACAAACAATGAAATGCCACCTTCGTTTGAATGTTTTATAGGTAGATGGATTTTAGTTACGAAACATATTGCTTTCACTAATATTTCACATTCGAATCGTGTTTCAAATGTCATAGTGAATTCCTTTTTCACATAAAACTTATGTTTATGAAGATACTCAAACAAGTATTCATATCTGGTAGCATCTCTTTTATCCGTGCATTGACTAATTGTATCTGGAAAATTTTCTAAACCGCTAATCCCTGAAATGTAGGAATTGATGGAATCTTTTTCTCTTTGCGTTAATAAATCCATTCTGAATACTTTAGATTTCAGTTCGTCTTCATCCATTGTAAGAAATCTAATTTTCAGCAAAAATTTCTCCATTGTTTTCCGACATGCTTGATTAATGATTATTCGATCTGTTTCGAGAGGTATGGTTCTTGATACTTTTGCTTTGACCCAGTTGTAAACACCACGAAACAAAGTGAATTCAGACAAATTTTCGTATATTTCTCGATTTACGAAGCGATCGATTATAAAATCATGACATCTTAAGAAATCTGAACATTTAAATATCTCTCCCCCTGGAGAATCGAATTTCTCCCAACAGCGAAGTTCTATAAGTGAGTCCTTTCTACACGAAGCAAATTGATAAATGGAACAAACATTTTTCAACTCCATTTTTTGAATCATGTCTTCCCTACATAATTGTTTTAAATGTAGCATTTCATATTTTTCACTGATTTCATAAATTTCCATACATTCATTCAATGTAGTTAATATTATATATCCTCGGTTTATATATCTATAGAAAAATCAAACTTTTTAAAATTTTATGAATCCTTTAAAAATATTCTATAAAATTTCATATTAAAAAAGTATAGAAGTATAAAAACATTTGGTAGATTCCAATTACTAAGAATATGTATTTTGGTAATATCTTTGTGATAAAGTATTGAAATTTATTTTCTGGGCTTTCCTTATTCTGAAATGTTACTTGAGTTTTAATTCCCCATTGTGAACTAGAAATTTCTCGCTAATGTTTCGATTTACGAATACACCGAATTTCCGATTATCCGTGCTAATTAGTGCAAGAGTTCACGAAAACACGGATAATCCAAAATAAATTCCTTTAAGAAAAGAAAGCTGTTAAGAGGTTGTAAATGAACTACAGTATATATACAGTACAACTCATTTCAGTTGTGTGAACCCCAAGTTTCATAGGCTGAAATGTATATTTAGTCAATAAACCTAAAATGTAGATGTCTTCTATTTTGAAAAATATTGCGTACGATTAGAAATTTAAATTTTACATTTGTATGTATAATTTTTTTTAAATTACTGTATTTTAAATTTTGGATTAGTGGGTATTTTCTTCCTACTGTTTATAGCGTATAGTGTGATATTTTTTTTTTGCCGTATTCTATCTCAAAAAAAAAAACTCTCCACCCTGTAGGCACTAAGAGGGTCTCTTTTTAGCAAGACCATTATGGGTTCGGCCAGGCCCACAATGGGGCGGCCGGGTGGTGAGTGACGGGCCTAGCTGAAGCTAATAGTGATACTGAACATCGTTTGACAAGTTCAAGAAGCGCGCCATATTGTTTTAAGTAAAATAATATAATGTTCTCACAGGAACAATGGGTTTTAATTTTAGAACAGTATTTTGCAATCGATCCTATGTTCGTGTTGTATTTTTACCAGCAGATTTTTACTTCAGGTTATCTAAAAAAAGCTGACAACTAAGGGAAATACTATGCAAACTATTGACTATATCACATCTCTATTGCTTTGCAAAATGACATTAAATATCAAAACGACTTTGCGCCTGTATTGTTGAAAGGAGAAGTCATTTTCAACATTTTCTAAAATTATTTTTTAGATTGAGCCTAAAATTGAAGTTAAAGGAAAATATATATTTTTTTTTTTTTTTTT